TTTATAAGTAATTATGGTAATATAAACATTTGGGTTTTGCAGTTGAGTTTTGTAGCGTTCACTTGTTAATTGTAACAAAAAATTATTTTAGTTTTAAATGTTCCCATGCTTTTTATAATTTGTCATTTTTTGGGCGCATTGTTTCGTTCTTTGTCTTCTAAAGCTAAATATATCTCTCAACAAGCACACATGTGTCGACAGTGTAACTGTTAGCAGAAGCGCTAACATSGTAGCGTTGTGTGTAACACAAATAACATTCCTGGCAGATGAAAGTGCGCTGATTATAACAGTGTGTATTTTTTACAGATAAATTTGTCTCGAGGATTTTTTGTAATCAAATTATTCAAGGAGTCGTTTCAGCACAATTTTAATAAAAGTTCCAAATTCTTGTTTTTATAAGAAGCATCTTGTGTCCTTTAAAATAATAAAAACTTTGTAAAATTCAATGTAAAATTAACAGAAAAGATGTGAATTAATGATAAAAGGTTCCTGTCAGCAAACTGCAACATCAGATCAACGATGTGTCTCAGAAAGCCAGGATTTAAACCATGTGGACATTTGTAAACAAAGTTCCACCAATGAGAAACCAAACAGCAGAACCAGGAGTTATTTAACACTTTAATGAGTTAAAAATATATTTTTGGGTCCAGTTTAAGACTGGTGTTCAAACCAACCCCAGCAGATGTAACAAAGTTAACAGTAAAGGAAGGTTAAAACAGTTTATTTAGCTGAGATTTTAAACCTTTTTTATTATCTTCACACTGAAAGGTTTTCTGTGATCTGGTTTAATGAAACTTGTTTTCTTGTCAGGATTAAAGGCGTCAGCCCCAAAGTGATGAAGGTGATCCGGATGATGAGGCTGAAGAAGACCTTTAGTGGATCCTTTGTTAAAATCAACAAGACCTCCATGGCCATGATGAAGATGGTGGAGCCGTACGTGGCGTGGGGGTGAGACGTTCACACTCGAGCTGTGACGTGGTTTGGTTTTTCTTGTTCAGTCGAACTTTAATCATTTCTCCTGCAGGTTTCCCAACCTGAAGTCGGTGCGTGAGCTCATCCTGAAGAGAGGTCAGACCAGGATCGGTCGTAGAGGAGTTCCCCTCACAGACAACAACCTGATCGAGCAGCACATGGGTACGTCACTGACTGATCTGCTGCTGCTTTAGACCTGGGGGGGCCTGGGGGGGGGGCTTCTCTTCAGGCAACAGAAACTAATGAATACTGTTTACTAACGAGGGCTGGGTAACATGTATTTAATCAACCTTGGATTGGTTTAATTCACATGTAGGAACATGGATGGATGTTAACATCAGTAGTCCTGAAGCACAGGCACAGTTTTGTCCCTCCTGACCTGCCGTATGTTTACATCCATCATGTTCAGTGCTAACGTTAGCGTCCAACAACACGTCATCCAGGTCAAAACTAAACAAACTAAAGATTTATTTAAGAAGGATTTAAAACCATCGAGATGAGTGATCATGTAAAGTTCACTTCCAAACACTAAGATTAACGTTTACTGTTTTATTATCAGCTGTAGCTGTTAGCTCATTAATTACAGACAGTAATACTGGGTTTATAGGTATTTATTAATAAAACATGTAAGAAATCAGCCTCTGTCCTTCTGCTCTCTGTGTGTCTGCCTCAAGTCTGTTTCCAGGTTATTTAGGGCTGCAACTAACCATTATTTTAATAATCAATTCATCTGTCCATTATTTTAATAATCAATTAATCTGTCCATTATTTTAATAATCAATTAATCTGTCCATTATTTTAATAATCAATTAATCTGTCCATTATTTTAATAATCAATTAATCNCAATTAATCTGTCCATTATTTTAATAATCAATTAATCTGTCCATTATTTTAATAATCAATTAATCTGTCCATTATTTTAATAATCAATTCATCTGTCCATTATTTTAATAATCAATTCATCTGTCCATTATTTTAAGGACAGATGAATTGATTATTAAAATAATGGACAGATGAATTGATTATTAAAATAATATTAGCTGCAGCCCTAGAACTAACCAAGTCTGCTCACAGCAAACACTTTAACATTTAACACAAAGGAAAGAAATGGATGCTATAGAAGGTATAAAAAGAGTAAAACCTGTGTACTACTGATCAAAGTACTTGAGTCTGACAGTTTTTAGTTGAGAGTAAAGTTCAGAGTGTTTCTGATCCTCCTTGTTCTTCAGGGAAACATGACATCATCTGTCTGGAGGACCTGATTCATGAAATCTACTGCGTGGGGAGGAGCTTCAGGGCAGCCAACAACTTCCTGTTGCCTTTCCAACTGTCTGTACCTCGTCACGCTGCCAAAGACAAAGCTGGGATCCTGAAAGACGTGGGGAACCCCGGCTTCCGTGGGACAGACATCAACTCAATAATCAGACTGTTGAACTGAGCAGAAACTGAACCTGAACTGTTGGTTGGTCAGCAGCAAACCCTGCTGGGTTTAATCCAGTCAGGATGGAACTGGACCTGTAACCCAGTCTCTGCTCACAGCAGACTGGGAGTCAGACTGGGAGTTGAGATCAGGGTCTTTATGTGGAGTTTGGCTCAGAGTTGTAAAGAGGCCCTGCAGCTGGACTGACCTGTGGGTGGACATACAGTACAATAAATATGTTAAATAATATCTGTGTTCTATGAACAGGTACAGTCCTCAGGTGTTCTGGGAGGTAGTACTTGTAGTACACAAGAACAATAAATACTTTTAATAATTCTCTACATGATCCCACTCAGAACTTTTGTTTTATTTGTAAAGTAATTCAAAAAACAGATTTATTAATCTGATTTATTAATTTGAAGATCTGGGATAAAAGAAACTATTGGTTCATAAATAAACATGAGTTTTATAATAAAACCAAACTTTAGTCATTTATTCAGTGGAATTCTTGTACAGCACCATGTAAAGTTACATTTATCTAAGGAAGTGTACAGATCGTGTCAAATTTTCACTTTGTTGTTTCCCTGCAGCACAATGGTGACGAACTGTCTGAACATGAACAGAACCAGGACCAGAACCAGAACCGGACTCACTTTTATTCAGCTTTCGTGTTTAAAGAACAAAACCTGCCTGAGTTTGGAGTTAGGATCAGATTTATTAATCTGGGTTTATTATTAGGATCAGATTTATTAATCTGGGTTTATTATTAGGATCAGATTTATTAATCTGGGTTTATTATTAGGATCAGATTTATTAATCTGGGTTTATTATTAGGATCAGATTTATTAATCTGGGTTTATTATTAGGATCAGATTTATTAATCTGGGTTTATTATTAGGATCAGATTTATTAATCTGGGTTTATTATTAGGATCAGATTTATTAATCTGGGTTTATTATTAGGATCAGATTTATTAATCTGGGTTTATTATTAGGATCAGATTTATTAATCTGGGTTTATTATTAGGATCA